ATATATATATATATATATATAGCATTTAAGCTCATGGGGGCAAAATTTGGGACACATGTAAGATTTGAGATCAGGCTGGAAAACAAAAGCAAGAGTGTGTTATTATTCATCACTGCAGAATAGAAATATTTTGTATTGCAATATGATAGGTTTTATTTTTTAGCCCATTGCCCCAGAATCTACCAACCATTCATCTGGCTTTCTGGGATATTTCAGGAAATCTAAAAGCATCTGGACTCTCATGGGAGGGGAAACGAATGAGACCTTCTGGGGGCACAGATTATACCATCTGTGTAAGTAAGCTGTGTCCTGGTAATTAAAGCTAAAAAGATTAATATAGCAAATCTCTAAGCAAATGGAAAGTGAGTTAATCAAGATCTCTCTGCATTACAAGATACTAACCTCAAGTTTGAGAATATCATGCTGAAGTTTGCGCTGGAACTCCAAGAAGTGGGAGATGGTCAGTTTCCCCTTCAAATCAGCTCCAAAAAAGTATGTTGTCAATGCTGAATTGAAGCCAGTCTTCAAGGTATTCCCAGTAGTAGAACGGTCTCTGTGACGCATACCCATGCTAGTCTGGGAGCGAATGATGCTCTGAACCTACAATAGAAAAAGTTGAATACCCAGCTGTAACAAGGCAGATGGCAGCTTCATTATCTCCCCAAATGCCTGAAGCTACTGTTTATTTTAATGTGTACTTTAGCTGAGTTTTAAACCCTCGTATGGTGTAATAATAAATTTCTGAATTCTTAGAGGCTACTTTGTTCACTAGAGAGTAATCCAGATAGGTGGTTGAAATATGGAACAACCCTTATTTTAGGGTTTAGACTCACCTGGATGTAATTAGACTAGGTAATATAGTTGGTATTACCTAGCTCTTAAGCCAGGATAGAGAACCATTGGCCTTCCAGATACTGCTGCACTACAACTCCCACCAATCCCAACCAACAAAGAACTGCAACAGAGGACCAGAAAGACCACGTCTGTGCAAGTCTTCACAAATATGCAGTTCATAGTAGTCGTGTGCAAGTTCAGCTGGAAAGACCATATAGTCATGATTAAGGTGGACGGGGCTATGGATGTTGAGCTACCCCAATATTTCTCCAAATGGATCTCATTAAATGGCAAGGTATGAAACGGAGTTCTTGCTGTATTTGCTTGAATGTGAATTTTGACAGAACTTTACATGGAACTAGCAACCCCGATTGTATGATGACCTCTCTTTACACATATTGGGGGCAAGCCCACTGGAAACAAATCTGCCTCTTGTATTCTATTAGCATTTCAAAAATGTTCAGTATCTCCATTTCATAAGATCTGAAAATATTGTTTGGCTTATGGAGGAAAGAGTGGGTAAATCTTTTACAGCTCCTTTATTAAGGCATTGAGGTATC